ATGTATTTAGTACAGTGTCTACAGGGTCTACAGGGTCTCACTACATAGATTGGACACGTAGTGATCCTCCTGTTTTCAGCCTCCCAAGTGCTGGGATTACTGGTGTGCACCACCACGCCCAGTCTCAATCTCCATCTCAGCACAGGTGTGGGGCCTGCACAGGAAGGCCCCAGGGATTGAATTCCCAGCTCCTGCATCTGCCTAAACAGGTGCTTTAATCCACTGAGCTACCTGGCTAGCCATTTTTGGGGATGGGGAGTGGTCATGAGCTTGAACCCACGGCCTTTTTCCTTAGTTCTATCCTCAGACCATTTTAATTTTAAGCCAGGGTCTTGCTAAATTGCTAAACTGACCAGGCTGGGTTTGATCGTCCTGCCTTGGCCTCTGAGAATGCTAGGGTTACATGGGTTCACACCTGTACCAGCTCTACATACTTTAAAAGAATTCCCCATGTATCTGTCTGTGTATTCTATTTTTGCTTCCAAAACGAACTTTCCTAGCTGAGCGTAGTAGCAGAGAGGTAGGAGGATCACAGCAAGTTTGAGGCCCGCCTGGGCTATCTAGTGAATTCAAGGCCAGCCTGACCCACACGTAGAGACCATCTCAAACAAAAAAGTTTCTTTACTGAATAAATGTACCCCAAAACCACACTATGTAATATATACTCTATTATGGAGAATATAATCCTATTTGCTGTGATTGTACAACTGGAAAATTGGTCTAGGGAGAGATTAACTGTGCTCGCTTCAGCAGCACATATACTAAAATTGGGAGAGATTAACTATTTAATATTAATTTTATTTTATTTTTTAAATTTTTTTGCAGAACCAGGGATTGAACTCAGGCCCTTGCGCTTGCCAGGCAAGCACTAATTTTACTGAACTGTCTCCCCGGCCCCTAATATTAATTTTAATATTAACACATAAATATAAAATTCTTAGCTTTTAAAAATAAAAGCTATAGTTCAGCACTCTCACACTCTCTTTTCCTCTTACTCTGAGCTTTTTTTTTTAAATTGAGAAACAAATAGCAATGAGAATTTCAAAATCAATTAGTAAGACAATTTCAATGATTAATACATTGCATATTGTTATCTTGGTAGTAGTTATTCATAGTACAAGATGAAGACATGATAGCCTGTCTAAACACTATTAGTACAAATCATTCTATTCATTGAATTAAGAGAAAGTAGCTGTCTATCTTAACTATTTTCAATATACAAATACAAAATGGTCCTTCATTTGTATCCCTTTTTTTTGTTATCACTGTTTGGGGTTTTTTTTGGCAGAACTGGGGATTGAACTCAAGCCCTTGCGCTTGTCAGGGAAGCACTTATTCCACTGAGCCATCTCCCCAGCCCTCCTTTTTTTGTTTAGTTTTGTCAGAGATGGGTATTTCATTGCCGTTTAAATATTGTAGGTACGCAAATTCAGTAAAATAAACCAATTTAGTCCAGTAGCCCATAATAATAGTGGGTTATCCACAAGACTGTCAATGTCAGAAGTTGTTGAATTGAGCCTTTTATAGCTCAGCCTATTAATACGGCTTTACTTTTTATACTTCATTTTTTTTACTTTTCTGCTGGATGGTTAGGAGCAAGCTAAAGCAAGACTTATATAACAAAATGTGTAACTTTTGTACTCTCAACTGCCTATGTTATAGAGTAATAATATCATTAAGCTTCTCTTCTGGAGGGTTAACAACTTAGGTTTGCAGACCAAAAATCTGAGCCTTTTTTTCACTTACCTAACCCCTGAAGGTTTTTTAATTTGAAACCATTCATTTTTATTCCTAAATTTTCAACGTTTGCTGTAATTCCCAGAAAGGACATAAAAAGGTTAAGGTGAGCTTTAATTACCACATTCCTCTGACTTTCCCCTAATTGCTTTTCCATCCAAACAATTCTTGAAGAGCAAAATTAAATAATTAAATTACCTTTCTGAGTCGCTGAATAGTGTACTTCATCTAACCAGAGCTACACGCTGGACTAGAGCCACAAGTCGAGCTAATTTGGATTATCAGGAAAAGCCCTGCTGCTATTACGTCCCCTCTCTTTGTCTCAGATTCTGAATCAACAAGCGCAAGGTGTGGAGCTGTAAGCACTTCAGATAAAACCACAAAGGAAAAACCCACAGCTCTCAGAACCCCAGTGAGGTCACAGCACCTGAAAAGGAAAACACCATTTCTTTTTAAGGAGGATTGTGTGTAAGACGGGCCATGAGAATCAGAGGCTTAAAACCTTGCAAAGCTGCTGGTGTGACAAAGACCGTCCAGTCTGTCTCTCCCCACCTTACACAGCTTGTAGGGTAGACGTGGCCAGGAGCAGTCAAAGAGACTTATACTTTACCCTCCCGTTCGGGGAGCTGGGCATAAGAGTTAATGACCTGGTTTTAACACTTCTTGAGAGTAACACGAACAAACAAACAACACACAGCAGAACTCACCTTCATAAATGGACCCCAGCTGATATTCTCCACTGAAGAACTGTGGCAGGGCAAATACAAATGCTCCCAATCCTATCATAAAGGATGCAAACGCGAGCCATCTTGGCTTGTGTCCTCCTTCACCGAAGAAGGATACGAATAAAGACAGCAGACAGAAGGAGATATCGTAGCTGGATGAAATCAGGCCAGTCAGGGAACTCTTAATTTCATATCGCTTCTCAATAGTGGAAATGCTGATGTTTACTAGGCCATTTACTACAACCCCTGAAAGAGAGAGAAATGGATGTGTGCTACAACAACTTCATTATGTAGATTATAATTATTAACACAATGTTCTAAAATTTGGTTGTTCATTTTGTTTGCTATTTGTAAATGTGCTGGTTGGTCTTAAAAGGCTCAAAGTTTCTCTGGGCGTGGTGGCACGTGCCTGTGACCCCAGTATTTGGGAGGCTGAGGCAGGAGGATCATTGCGAGATCAGCCTGAGAGAAGTGATCAAGGCCAGCCTGAACTGCACAGGAAGACTTTGTCTCAAAAAGACAAAAATAGAAAATAAAATTTAAAAATCTCAAAGTTACAAATGATAACAAACTCAGTTTGAAAATCAGGGTTTTTTTTTCCAAATTGTTCACTTGAAAATGTTCAGATGATAAGCAAAACTACTGCCTGCTACATACTTAATTGCTTTAAATTCATTTTTCTCTAAATGACAAAAAAAGAATGGTACAGCCCCATGAAACCAGTCTGCGCAAGCTTTCAAGGGCAGTGTGCTTCCATGGACCCCTCTAGGAAGAACATAGAAAGTACAGGTGACCCCACAAGCTATCACAGTAATATTCACCTGTTTCCTAAGACTTAAACATAGCTACCAATAGCAAGAATTTATTTTGGCTTAGTCTTAGAGGGAGAAATTGAATTCTCAAAGTTCAAATTTTTTCTAAAGCTTTCCTTGATACTGAATTTATCATTTAAAAGGTTCTGGGGCAAAACGAAACACAAGCTAAGACTTTTACTTTGACTATAGTATTCTAAATCATGTGCAAAGTAAAACACACTTCATACATTTAAGACAAGCAAGCCTGAAAAATTATTTGAAATGTCCTGCCCAGACACAGACTAAGTTTACAGACATTTAAACGTTGCTGTAAAGTGAAAATAAGGATCTATTTAAATTTTAACCTGCTATACTTTTAAGCATGATTAGGAATTGTCGCCATTGCTAATGATTAGAGTACAGATGTCACAATCCCTTGATGTGAGGCTTTATCAAGACTATCAGGGGCTGGTGAGATGGCTCAGTGGTCTAAAGCACCTACTTAGAACAAGCTTAGCAAAGCACAGGGACCGCGGTTCAATCCCCCAGCACCACATGCCAGCCAGCCCGCCCCCTGGTGGGCTGAGCTGGCCACACACACACAAATAAATAAATAAATAAAATTAAAATAAATAAATAAATAAATAAAAAGACTATCAGCAAAAAGGGAAAGGAGCTGAGGAAACGGACTGAATTACGTCACACACATGTTCTGGTAAAGAAAAGAAATATTTAATAGCATATATTTCAAGAACATTGATAAAGCAAGTTTCAAAAGTCCTAACGTGGGCTGGAGAGATGGCTCAGTGGTCTAAAGCACCTACTTGAAACAAGCTTGGCAAAGCACAGGGACCGCGGTTCAATCCTCCAGCACCACATGCCAGCCAGCCCCGCCCCCTGGTGGGCTGAGCTGGCCACACACACACACACACACACACACAATAAATAAATGTAATTAAAAAAAAAAAGTCCTAACGTAATCATTGTTTTCAATGCCAGTATAACAGAACCATAAACTATTTGACAATTCCTGGGATTTCTTAATAAAGTATTAGCCATATTTATAAATGACACTCCTTTTTTGTTTTTGCAGAGTCAGGGATATTCAACTGAGCTATCTCCTCGGCCCCTAAATGACACTTTTCTACGGAACTATTTCACTTACAAAATGAATATGGCCCCACCCAAAATTCAACTTCCTGACACTTCACACTGATTAATAACCCAGTCACTAAAAATTATTCATTGCCCTGATGGTAAAAATTCTCTTTGAAAATGAAAGTTCAAAGGCCTCTGAAAGGACAGCATTTTAGTCCAGTGAATTCCCAAGTGAATCCTACGGTATAAGAATTCTAAGAACACTGCTTTAAAAACAATCCCGTGAAGCACTATACACCGCTCCTATTGTAAATGCACGAAAACGGGAAGCACATTAGTACACCAAGCCCTAAGGTAAACCCTATGTTTTTTAAAGAAATACTAAGCAAAATCTGTCTAGTTTTGCTTTGCTCTTTAATTCAGTATCTATTCACATATCCTAGAGTCTTCCTGGGGGTCATATTTGAGATACATGGAAGTAATGTTTTGAGGTACTGGAACTTAAATTGGAAAATGTATCGATTCCCTTTCATCCCAGACTGTGCTTTTTCAAACAACCTCTGGGAAGATGCAGTCCCCTGTTAGGCCTGACACATTTTTAGGGGTGCTGATTACATTTGACAATAATTTTAATACTTTATATTAAATGTAAAATGACATATCTTAATATTAAATTTTCAAGGTTTTCTTTTCTTTTATGGTGATTTTATGGTACAGGGCCTTCACTTTGAGCTACAGCCTTAACCAGCTTACACTTTGTTATTTTGAGACAGCATCTCCTCGGTAAGCTGGCTGCTAAGATGCCCAGGCTGGGCTAGAACTTGGGCTCTGCTCACCTCGCTCTCCTGCACGACAGGCCTGCCCACTGAGCTCAGCTTCTCGAAAAAAATTTAAATAAAATATGAGACAATATTTTCATTTCTATTCAACTTTTGGAGCTGTGCAACTTTTGACACGAGATATTTCAAAACATCAATGATTTCGGACACCTAGGACCAAGATATTAATGGAAGGAAAAGTTAGAAGGGACAAGCAAAGTGGAAGAAGCGGAAGTAACGCAGGCACGAACTTCCAGTGGGAGAGAAGAGGTAGACTTGCCGTCAACAAATAATTAGCACTTCATCTGGGCGAAGCCAGGCGCTGGAGGAGTTCCTCGGAGAGGGCTGTGGAGACAAGCCCAGGAAGGAGGCACTCTGATTTAGTTTTCCATTAACTTAGACAAGAGCAACTCGTAACTCCGCGCTCCAATATGCTTCTTGGGGTGCATTTTTTTCCATCAATCCTTGACTACTTAGCTACATATTCTGAGACTAGAACTCAAATGAACCCAAAGCACCGACAGCCCTAAACCAGCCCAAGCTGGAGAGCGGCCTTCGAGACGCTCTGCCGGTCCCCCTCCTGGGCTCCTCACCCGAGCGTCCCCACCCACCGTCTGGGTCCCTCACAGCGCAGACAGCCGCTCCTGCTCCGTGATCGCTTTAGGGGACACGCTGTGTCCTCACCAAGCCCCCTCACTTGGCCAGAGGCCTGGGCTGCCCGTTTCTGAGGGTTTAAACCTAGACATGACTCCTTGAGAAGCGAACCGCAGTGCTCACAGCCAGGGCTCCTGGGCGACTCCTGCGACTCCCGAGCTCGGCGCAGGCTGGGTCCCGCAGGGCCCGACGCGCCGCCAGCCTGTCCCGCGGTGCTCTCCCGCAGCCCCGGGCGCCCTCTCCCCGACGCACCGCCTGCCAACACTTTCTGTCCCCTCTGCGACGCGGCTTTCTAATCTGCAAAGGTGACCGTGTTTCCACTGGAAAAAACAACGTCCAAACCCTCTTTCCCCGGGACTCTGCAGAAAGGGCGCGCGCAGGAGCACAGGGGACCCGGGCGCTGCTCCGCAGGCAGCTCCCCCGACCCTCCGGAGAGGCACGGTCCTCTAAACCGAGGCTCCGCGAGCGTGAGTCAGTAAAGCTCCGCTGGCAAGTTGGAAACCCGCACGCGAGGGGGCGCGGGCGCGGGCGCGGGGTGTACCTTGCGTGACGGCTAGGACGCAGTAGTGCAGCAAGAAGCCGGCGGGCGTGTTGCAGCGCTGCAGGCAGCGCGGGGCGAAGCGCCCCCACCCGAACGGTCCCTCCTCGAACTCCGGCTTCGCCGGGGCTGTGGGCGGCGCGGGGCAGGCGGGCGGTGCGGGCGGCTCCGGTGGCTCCCGCGGTCGCGTTGGCTGCGTGTCCTGTGCCGGGGCGTGGGAGACCTCAACCAGGGAGGGCGACGCGGACGAGCGGCGCGGGGTGTCCGGGCTGCAGGGCACGAAAGCCGGGTTCTCGATGCCTTTGGCGCCCTTCATGGTAGGGAACCGAGCTCCCGACTCCGCAGCCTCGCCGCGGCGACAAGCTCGCTCGCCTGCTGGCTCCTCCCCGGGACAGGTGACAGCGCCCCCACGCGGGAACTCTGCCAGCCTTCCGGCCTTCCGACCTCCGGGCACCGCGGCGGGGTATCTTGCCTTTCCTCCAGGGCGGCCCCGAGCGCGGGTGGCAGGCGCCCCACCTGTCGCCGGGCGGGGCTGGTGCCTGGCGCAGTGCGCAGCGCGGGCGTGCGAGCCCGCAGCCGCCAGGTGAGGGGCGAGGGCCGCGCCCCGGGTACCCGCGCGCCGCGCTGTGCCGTGAGCCCGGAGACTGCAGCAAACAGAGCCTGCAAACCGAGGCGAGTTCCCCCTGGGTTCTGAGAGGAAAGCTGTAAACACGTTGCATCAGGAGACCTTCCAAGAAAATACCCTGCGGTTTTCTTCCTGCCGCCCCAAGACTCCTGGACTCAAGAATCAAGCAACCCTGGCTATGTTTTGGGTTTCATGAACGTCGTTCGAAGATTTTGCAGATCACGCCCCCTGAAACTGGAAACCCACTCCCTCCGCGGTCGCCGCACCGTTGTTAACAGCAAAACACGACCATCGCTGATTCTACTCCCAAACTGAAGAAACAGAAATTAAGAAAATGTAAGAATAAGACGTTTTATGGATGTATATTGCACATCTAAGATCTATGAAGATGTTGGTGATGAAAATAATTTCTACTTGTCGGATAAACGCGCGAAAGGCTTTGAGGATCCCCAGGCTATTGTGGATACTACTTACAAGTCATTCATCCTTTCAACTGTCATGAGAAACGTTATGCCACGGGTGCTACACGTCATTAGAGCCTCTAAGGGGACATACGCAGCAGATGGAAGCTGGCGGGAGCTCCGACCCTCGTGGTGCTCATATTTCAATAGCAAACAGACAGAAAGAAAAACCAAACAAACAAACAAAACAAAAAAATACAGAGTGCCTGATACATAGTATGATAAATTATTTTGTTTTGTCTTTTGGGGACAGGGTCTCTCCAAGGCTGAATATTATTTTATGAAACTTTTCCTTCAGTTAAGTATGCTGTCTTTATTGGGTTGAGAAATTGAAATATATATATATATATATATTCTTATTTTTATTTATTTATTATGTATTTGGTACAAGGTCTCACTACGTAGCTCGGACTCATAGTGGTCCTCCTGTCTCAGCCTCCCCAGCGTTAGGATTACAGACATGCACCACCACCCCAGTCTCAGCGGCCATCTTGGGGTACCCGGGGCAGGGCCAGCACTGCATGTGGTGTCGTGGATCAAATCTGGGTCCTTGCCCTTGCCAGACAGGAGTTTAGACTGCCAAGCTATCTCTCCAGCTCTATATATTTTATTTTTAATAGACATTCTGTTTCCTGTTCCCTTATAGGTTAAAAACAAGTCTAGACTCATCTAGAACACAGGAAGGAGTAGAAATAGGAACTAATATTTCACATGCTTGCTCTGTATCCCATTATTAATCTTTCCATCAGCATAGTTAGCATTATCTGCATTTTAAGCATGGAGGGAGCCGTATCCAGGGAGGGCCAGTAGCTCTCCCAAAGGCATAGTGAGTGTGTGGCCTGGCACTTGTTAAGAATTTGAATTCAGTTCTCTCAGTTAGGGCTTTGCATTTTCTGTCTTTTAATTAATACAGTCCATGTCTTTAGGTTAGAATTATTGCACAGTCATTCTGAGTGATCAAAATTCATATTTCTGGGAATTTATAGATCTTAAAACATGTCTGTTGGGGGCCTGCAGGTTAGCTCAGTTGTTTGAGTGCCTGCTTAAGCAAAGGCAGTCAGGCTCAGGATACTGTGGTTCAATTCCCAGATCCTTAAGCCTTACCAGACCTGCCCTTAAGGAAACCTGAGCCAGCAAAAAAAAAAAAAAAAAAAAAAAAAAATCTGTTGCTCTCAATAGCTTAGATTTTGAAGGTATACAAACTGCACTGTGTGTAATCTCTCTGGGATTTCTTTAGACAGAAATGGACTCGGAATAAATATCTAAAGGTATAAATAGGTAACACTGTTTTATGTTTGCACTGTGAGGTAATTCCCTTAGCCAGGAAAGTTTGCTCTGACAAAATTAACATACAATCAGGGCTGAAGGTTATTTTGCAGCTCTAAATTAACACATTCAAAATATACTATCGAACCAGAATAGCATAGTGCACTTAAATGCAAACTAAGGAAAAAGCTTGATTCTAACAATGTTGGACTGCAGAACTCTGTTGAAAGGCTAGCGCGAGTGCTGTTACTTCATGTGCAGTACATCTTGCTCTTACTGAACGTGTTACCAATAGCACTTTCCTGTAATCTTGCATTCTTCATGCCGCAATGAGCGTGGAAAGTTCAGGTTGCAACACGGATTGAAAAAAAAAAACCTGGTTCATTTAGTCTCCAACAATTGGGTAGGAAAATCATATTTTCAACTAATTATGCGCTCAATCTGTGGTATTGCTATTCTTTTAGTCGATTTCATTTGCTATATTTTTAAGGGTAAAGAATGGAGGTGAAAAAAAATCCCCTTTTCATACTAACCCTTCCTGTGGATATCATTCTCAGCAACAGATCTTCCCTACCAGGAACTGGATAAACCAAGACAGAGTAAGAATGAAAGAAAACATCCAGATGACCCCACGAGCCCCACTTGCTCTAACTCCATGCTAAGTGCAATGTGACGATTGTACGCTGGCCTACCTTCTTGGTAAGCTGGCTGGTTGAGAATGTGCTGATGTGTTTATCTTGCATACCTTGTTATATTTTCTTCTGTTTGGTTTATTCTTTTGGTGAATTCTTTAGCACTCTAACAGTATAAGGCTCATAGAATATTAAAATTATAGCAGGGTCCTGCGTGCTCGCTCTTTCTTTCTCTCTCTCCCGCCTCTGCGCCCCCCCCCCCCAGGTCTTGTTGCTTCTGAGCCATGAACTGTTCTCTGGTTCCCCTCAGCCACGCTTCTCTCCTTGGAGTCAGCCAGGTGATGGACCTCCACAAACTTAGAGCTAAATAAACTTTTCCCCTTTTAAAATGAAACAATAAAATACAATTAGGAGGATATTGGCATTCCCTCAATGCAAATGCAGGCAAATGCAAATATTGTTGAGGCGAATTTTTTTAAATTACAAAGATTACTGTATCCTGTCAATTTAAGTCTTTTTTTTTTTTTTTTACCAGGGATTGAACTCAGGCCCTTGCACTTGCCAGGGAAGCACTTAATCTACTGAGCCATCTCCCCAGCCCCAATTTAAGTCTTTTAAATTGAGCTCTGTGCTATCTATTAAGTATCAGAAAGTATGCTTATGCTAGAACTATCAAAGCATAATATGGAAGAAATCATTGGATTTATACATCAAGAGATTTTTAAAAGAAAAGCAAGTATCTTATTGTAAATTTGTGCTAAGACATTACTTCTAAAACATATTTCTTTTCTGTTTAAGATCTGATGTCAATGCTTAGCACAGTCTTCAGTCTAGGTCAGGTAAGCGCACGTCTGCATGTGTCTACAAGGTGTTCCGGAGACAGTGGGCACCTAGGCCGGGCAACCAAAAAGGGAAGCCCCTCCCTGGGTGTGCTGAGGGCTCCCACCGCAGAAGGAGTGAAAAGGGGAGGGTTGGGGAAGCGAGCCCACCATGCAAGCTAGATTCTCCTGGCACAGGAGATCCGCTGCTGCTGTGGCCACCTGTGGGCCGCTTCCTCCTCCTTTCCAAGTGCAATCACAGCAGCACCCGTGGAGGGAGCCCAGGCCTGCAGCCTGGCTGGGCTACAGCCTTGGTCTGACTTGTTTTGCGCCTTCCCATGCTTTGGGCCAGACAGCTACTGACTGGATCTTCCATCCCTCCAGGGCCTGGGTGTCTCTCATCCACTGTCCTGGTCCTACAAACCATCTTCATAAAAGCCCTTCTGTCATTTTAAATGCATCACATGTGTAGTCTAAAACTTCAGTTCCTTTCAGTGTTTTTATTAGTTAATCTTAGCAGGGTATGATGGTTGCATTCCTCATGGAGAGCTGGCCTGTAGATAGAACACATCTCAAGGTGTTATTCATCTCTTTCTATCCCTCTCCACATCCCCTCCCTCTACCTCTTGATTTCCTTTTCTGAAAGATCTATCTCTGTATTTTCTGTTGTCTGTCTTTATTTATATATTGGATTTCCATGTTACATTTAAGCTCATATATCTGATTCACTTCATTTGATATCACAGTCTCAAGGTGGTTGTGTTTTCCTAAAAATCACTCAAATTTATCCTTCTTTATGACAGAGTAGTACTCCACTGTGTATAAATACCATGGCTTTTTTTTTCTATGATTAGGATAGCACAATGCATAACAGCTAAGTCTTGGAAGTGGCCCATGCATCTTTCAGTTCCTTTTGAGCACCCAAACCAATACAAATATGCTATTATTCTAGAGAAGATACGTCATCATGATATCATAATCATGCCAACACACCACTTTATTTGTTGAGGCTCTGAACCCAGGACCTCATGCACACTAGAATAACACCATACAAGCATGTACTATACCCCTCCCCTGCCTTTTAAAATTTTTATTTTGAGTTGGAGTCTTGCCAGGTTGCGCAGGTTGGCCCAGAGCTTATGTTCCCCTGCCTCACCTCCTGAGTAGCTGCGGCCACAGGCATGCGCCACCTACTTCACCCAGAATGCCTTCTGTACTGAAGACAGAAACAACCACACAGCTACTCGTGAGCATGCTGTCACACGTTCACCATTACTTGTTTTTCAGAGAAGGGAGTAGGAGGAGGATGAGGGTTTTTAAGATTTAGAACTGAAGAAAAGAACACCAAGACCCCATTTGTTCCAGCAGGCTACCTCCAGGAATTCTAATAGCAATTCCACCCAAAGGCTCAGTTCCCTCAGAAACAAACAAACAAAAAATTTTAAAGGTCCAATTACAGGCAAAGTAAGAGAGGTGAGCAAAGAATTTTCCTGCATTCTTTCAGAGTAATCTTTGTACATGTTACTGGCAGTTGGAAGCAGTCTGGTGTCCAGCTGAGGACCCTAGCAGGCTGGTGTCATTAACTAACGAAATACAAACACAAGTAAGAAGGATAGTGAACAAAGTGCAAGGCAGTGGGCATAGGTTAAAACAAAACTTTAAAAAGTT